CTACAAGAAAATCTGTCACCAAAGTACACCAATATATATATACACACACATTTATAGCCCTTCTATCCCATGTGATATGGTGTCAAACAGAATTCAGTTCATATTATGATCCTGCTTTTGATTGGCTCTTTTATCAGTTAAAATATCAATGCAAGTGACTTAGAAATGCCTATGGCATATAAAAACTTTATTTTGCTAGTTAACTGGAAACCAAAACATGTTTTATAGCTTACATGAATTAGATATCATAGACCACATCTAAGAGCTTATACAACTGTACTTGTAAGTTAAAATTAAACTTCGTAGTAGCTCAGAAAGTTTAAGATATAAATTCGAAGTTCAGGAGATTTTGAAAAGTATATTCTTCCTCAGGATCAACAAATGGTAAAAGCAGAAGTGCTTGATGGAAATCATAACACTTTCATAAACATAAAGTGTTTACAAAATGATGGAGGGTAACAAATAGCAACAAATAAGCAGCTTGTATAGTGAGATTGTGGACATGGTGAATTCTAACTCTCCACTTATACAAAGCAGTCCTTTAGAAAAACATGATAGATGTGCAACTTGATGAGGCTTCTTAAGCACTACTCTGAAAAACAACCATACACATTATAAAAATCAATATACAAGTGAATAGACGGCCTTCACTTATTGATGTAGACATTAGGGTCAAATAACGAAAAAAGCATTAACTTGAAAAACTGAGCTTTCTGTCTAGGAACTTAAAAACATGTGAAATTTGGCTTTGGGCCATTTCAACCTTATGTCACATTTACAAGTTTCCAAAATTCCAATTAATATTCTTTCACTTATCTCTTTCTTTATATACATATTCATGTTCATAACATTTTATTCTGGTATTAGTATCATTAGTTAAAATATAACTTTCATAATTTTACAACTGTTTTTGCTTTACATTTTATTCAAGAAAATGTATTTAATTTCAATTTTCCAGTATGGTTTTTAAAACTTCTTCTAGTAGTTTCATTTCTACAACACAAGGATGCTCTCATCAATCCCATATTGTCAATTACATTTTCTTTCCCTTAACCTCTGACCTCATCCATGTATCACACCAGACAACTTCCTTATCTGTTGACACATCAGTTTTCAACAACCACTCTGACTGACAGGTATTTAAAATTATAGAAATTTTTCAAGCACTTGTGTTTTACACCCTAGAAATCCCTTCCACTTAGGTGATATTTTTGAACTTTTATTATCACACTGCTTTAGTTCACGGTGTTCTTTTTTTAAATACGAGTTTTTAAACATATTAGTTTTTATGACTATCAAGTCAAGTAAACAGAAAAAAAAATGCTAGAACTTATTATTGTGTGCAACATAAGTAAATTCACATTGCATATCTGAGTAGAATATCACTTAATACTTGTATAGGAAGCACAAAATATTATATTATTGTTTTAAAGTGTAGAAAAAATCAGATTAACATTTCTACTTACTTGCATAAATATGTACTTTTGATAAAAATTGAACTTTTCTTTTGAGAAAATAAATTCTCAAAAAAAGTGGTTATGTGAAATAATCAGCAAAACAGCTGAACTTAAATGTCAAGTAATAACTGATTTTGTATTTAAAATTTCAACTTTTTTATTCCTTCTAAACTACACAAGTAGTCTAAATATGTGCCAACAAATTAAGCTACACTATAGCATATGTTAATGTTCAAATGATGTCATTTCGAGGTATATAGAGCAGTAATATCATCTTTGTAGTATTGTTTTATGGCATTCCTACACAGTTTATATGTAGCAGTTACAAGCCCCGATTCTGGAGTCCATAGTTCAGAACATAGCTTTATCTTTTTGGGAATTTCAATTCCTCCAAGTTTTGCTGAAAAGAAAAGAAACATTTTTTTCAAAAATCAGAGTGACTATTAATGTATATTAAAAATTTACAGTAGATTTTTGATTATCCAGCTCCCTAGCTAAATTTAATATTCACACTTTCCTCACCTTTTAGTGGGTGTTAATAAAAGAAAAACATTACAGTTTATATTAGAAAGCAACACCCATACTAAGTCCAGCTAATAATTCCAGTTTTGAATAATGTCAGCTACTATTAACCTATAAAAGTCCAAAACAAACTCCAGTTTTAAACAATTTCAATTCCTACCAACCCATAAAAATTAATAATAACTTTTGAACAATGTTAGCTTTCATTAGCCTATAAAGGCTAATTGAAATTTCAGTTCTGAACAATTTCAGCTCTAATCAATTCATAAAGGTCAAAGATAAGGAACTTGGAGAAAATGGACATAGGGATAGTCTTCCTTTGAAGCCCTTTGAAAAATGGCATGAGATACCATTGTGAAGTTTCATGTGTCCTTCAAGGGCTACTAGCTATTACAACTGAAATTATGATGTATTCAGAAAGTTCTTAAAAATATGCAATATTTTCAATAAATTTGTACTTATGAAACTCATTGGAGCTTTATGTGTCTTTACATGCAAAAATGATCAACATAAGTTGTTCTAAATGTGTTGTAAAAACTTTAATTTAAAGTAATAAAACTTTATTCATTAATTTTCAATGATTTATATGAAAGTATGTTCTTATATTTAGGGCCATTTACTGAACAAATTACAAGACTTGATCTAAGATTAATACATTATACCACACATCATCTATGGTGAGTGAAGGTAAGTAATTTGCTGAAAATCAGGAAATGTTTAGATGCATACATGTCACTTCTCACTTTTATAACATACTAGTTGTTCTTTTATCCTGTTCTTAAGATGTGGACTATCAGTTACAATTACATTTCAACAGATATGATTCTACTAAACCATGAAATGCATATTTCTTAAAGTTCAAAGGAAACAATAAAGAAACATGTATTTCATGGTTTAGTAGAACCTTATCTGTTGAAATGTAGTTTTTAACTTATAATCCACACTTTAAGAACAGGATAAAAGAACAATTAGTAGAATACAAAAGTCAGAAGTAACATGTATGTATGTAAGCAGTTTTTCTGATATTTCTGTAAATTAATTACCTTCAAATGAGAAAGTTAATCTTACCATACAACACTTATCTTTGTATTAACTTTTTGCACTTATGTCTTGATAATTTATTATTTTTTTTTTCCAAGGGTTGATCTGTGCAATGCACACCTAAACTTTCAAATCTTTAGACACAGGACATATTAGAATTAGTTTTCAAAAACAAGATATGCAGCAAAAACTTGTTGCTGTTTCTCTATATGTGTTTTCTATTTCTTAAATCTGATACACAATTCAGTTTGTTTATTTTCCTAGCTTGCAATTTTAACGTATGTTATTTAAAATGACACACTACACAAGTAATCTCTCTAGCTAAAACAAAACCTATACCTTTCTTGCCATGCTCTACTAGGGATTTTAGAAACTCTGCAATAACATCCTTGTCTTTACACATTTCTTCAAAACTAAGGTCCTCTTTGCCCAAGCTCGCAGCTAGCAAATGCAACTGTTTTCGATCTGGTACTACCAATGCTACTACATATGATTCAAAGCTATTTCCATAGACACAGATGTTATTCAGCAGTGGAAATCTCTTCAGCTCAGTCTCTACCTTTCCCAAAGAAACATATTCTCCCAACTGGAGCTTTACTAAGTCTTTCTTGCGGTCTGGAGAAAAAAAATGTTTTTATCAATGACTGAAGACATCACAGTTTAGGTAGGAAGTTGAATTTCTTTACCAAAATCCTGAATAATTCAATCTACAGTTCTTACCAATAATTTTGATGGTACCATCAGGATACAGTTCAGCAATGTCACCAGTACTAAACCAGCGAATTCCATCTTTCTCAAAGAAAGCTTCATTGGTCAGTTCTTCATTTTTGTAATAGCCTTGTGCCACACTGTCCCCACCTACAATAACTTCTCCCCGAGGATGAGGTTTGTCCCATACAGAATATCCACCTTATAAAAATAATCAAACATGTTAACTAACAATCCTTAAAGACAAAAGAATCATCTAGGTTTCCTAAATGGGAATAGCTATAATACATTTTCCAAAAATGTTATTTTTTATATATTAATACTTTGCACATGGTTGTAATTTAGCAAATTTTATGAATGAAAATTGTAAGGCTACATATTACCAGCCATAGTATAGTACAAAACTATCGACAAAGAATTTAAAGAAAAATTATGTTTTGTAATGCTGTTACTATAAAAAGGTCTCTTGGTTTTATTTGGCATGATATTCATGAAACTTCAGAGCTGAGGGTAGAAGAAGTGAGCTCCACTATAACAGACAAGTAATAAGCTCGAATGTACTACTAGGGTGATAAGAAATAAGCTTAACTGACATGGATACAACAGATGAAAACCACAATTAAGGAACTCCTTTGTTAAAAGTAAGAAGGAAACTCCACTATCAGGGTTTAAGAGGTGAATTTTATCATCAGGACTCAAAAACAAGCTTCACTACCAAGAGTCAAATAAGTGATTTCAACATTAAGGGTCAGTGAAGTAAACCCCACTATTAAGGGTAAAAAATATGAACTTCATTAACAAAAGAACTAAGGTTTCAATACACAAGAAAAGAACTCAACTATAAAAGACATGAAAAGAAAATCTTGGCTAGATAAACAAAAATAGAATTATTTATCGAGAGCACAAGAAAACTGAATTATCAATGGTACTACAAAAGAACTTCACTATATGATTACAAGAAAACTCACTTATCAAAGGCATGAGAAGAGAACTCATTCCTTAAAATTACCAGGGAACAAAATTATAGAGGACACAAGATGAGAACTCAATTTTTGAGGGTACATATCTACTTATACCTGTGATAAATTTAACTAGTCTAGCATCTTCCAATAAAAGAGTAATAGACCAGCAACTAAAGTGCAAGAATCAGACAGAGTATGGTCTAAAAGTTCAATAGATAATATACCACAGTATGCATGCATGGCCTGATGGTTGGGGCACTTGATTTACACCCTGCAAGTCAAGAGTTCAAATTATTGTCACCAAACATGCTCACCCTTTCAGCTATGGGTGCATTATAGTGTGACAGTCAATCCCACTATTCATTGATAAAAGTGTAGCACAAGAGTTGGTGGTGGGTGGTGTTGACTAACTACCTCTAATCTTTCGCTGCTATATTATGAATGGTTACCTTGTGAAGAGATGGGTGTCATCATGTATATCTGCCCAACAATCATTAATGATGCATCAGCATCTAAGGTGCCCCAACAGTCGTAAGCAGCCTCAGGATTGAAAAAAAAATGCATGCATGAGAGGTAAGCAGCTGGTCAAGAGTATCCACCTCTCTGTTACACAAGCAACATGATTCATTTAGCCCAACAAGTTATAGGTATTAAGCACCAATAAAGAAACTGAATTGTTAATTACTTTGAATTATAAATTAATAATGCTAAACAACTTTAAAACTACAAATTTTTAGTGCATCTTCATTATTCAAGTATATGCTGTTTTTAAGTATTTTAGATATTATATTGATTTTATAAAAGGCTCTTTAATTCTTATAAAAAAGACCTTCCAAGTATGCGTATATCTTCATTTATGTTGCCTTCTAGCATGGATGGGACCATCTTTACAGTTATGTATTTAAATTATATTTGCAATACAGAAAAATGTATTTAAAATTCATTGCCCATCAAAATGTTGTGGTCCTCCATTCTCTTTCTTCTACCAGTACACTGAACAATAAGGCTAAATGTTAAAAGTTCTCAAATCCATATGTTTTTCACTGTAATTTATATTGCTCTGGCTGTATTAGTGTCCTTCCTTTCTATTATCCAGAATGGCTGGTGTTAAATAATTATACTTACACAACCATTTAGATTAAGTGTTCAAACATATGACTGTTTCCCATGGTACAATGACATCATGTGGGGGAAAAACCCTACTCTGTAATTACAAGTGCAAGAATTTCCAAGTACTTGTGACCACCTTTTTTGATTGGTTCAATTGAGTCACATGGAAATCTCTAATTGCCTTATGTGGAAATCATCATAATACAACAAAGATTTCATAGACATAAGATAAGGAACTTTATACAAGATAAGATTGAAATTACATTAATCTTAATAAATCAGTGACATGGGACCTACAAGACTGTTTATCCAAAACAAACTATTTTCTTCTTTTTGCATAAAGATTTCATTGAAGACATTCTACACAAATTATAATCCACAGAATTCCATGAATTTTCAGGAAAAGTTCATGCCTGTTTATTTTTTAAAAGTAAACCTTCTACAAAAAAGATATCATTCAATTTGATCTTTCACAAAGAAATGCCAACAAAATATTTTCTATTTCACTAGCAATTGCAATACTTAAGAGGTGACTTATAAAGTTTGCTAACTGGTTTTTTAAAACATAAAATTTACTAGAATCAACCTGAATAAGGTATAATGTGTTATGAAAGTTTAATTTAAAACAAATTACTTGAAAAAATGAAAACTACCAAAAATAACAGTTTCCAAAACAAAGAGCATATTATTCGTATTTCATTATCTCTTTACCTTCCTCCCAGTCTTTAAGTTGAATAAAACAGTCAGCAACTGGAGCTCCCACTCTTCCAGTGCTTAAGTCATTCACTGAAAAACAAAAATTACTGAGAACTTACATGTGCTACAAAATATTATATATTGCAATCTTAAACAACTGAGTTCAGTCTATTGCAATCTTGAGCAACTGGGTGTAATATCTTGAAATCTGATCTTAAATAACTGAGTTCGGTATATTGTAATCTTGAGTAACTGGGTGTAATATCTTGAAATCTGATCTTAAATAACTGAGTTCAGTATACTGTAATCTTGAGTAACTGGGTGTAGCAGCTTGAAATCTGATCTTAAACAACTGAGTTCAGAATATTGCAATCTTAGCCCTCTTTATATGGACTTGGTCATTTTGATCAACTTTGCAACCACTATGTAATTTTTAAGTATTTTTTATTACGTATTGTCTGTGAATTTATAGAGTCAGAGTTTGACTAGTCTCAGTGCAAGGTAATCTTCATATTAAGATTAAAAATGTTTTTTACAGTTTTTAGTTTTCATATGCATCATCTCTGGAACATCCTATATGAATATCAAGTTTTTTCAGTAAAACTATATTTTAACTCTTTGTTTCTCTACCCTGACACTGTATACATGTTTACATTTTATTACTTTTATAACAATAAATAAATAAAGAATATACATAAAAAACAAGATATTTAGTACTTATGTGTGGGTCTTTTGCTCTCGAAGTCTCATTGAAAGTTAACCCTTTTTGTAGAGGTGTTTAGTACCTTATTTAAATTTTGTTTATTTTAAACATGCAATTCACAACACAAAATACTAAAACACATACAAAAAAAACAGTGTCCTGACACTATTTTAATTTTGGGTTATTTCACTGTCTGTCCACACAATTTTGAGGATACGAGTTGAATCATATAATAATATATAATGCTCATTGTAAGTTTTAAATAATAACTCTTTTTTTAGATTGTTCACATAGTTGGAATTTCTTGGAATAAATATGATAATTTATTTTGTATCTTTTTGCACTCAGAAGTTGGTCTTTTGTTACCCATGTGTATCTTTTCTGTAATCAAAAATGAAGTTTTTGTTACCTTTTCTCATCTATTTACATTAAAAAGTTGGTTTGCATCTTCTGACACTATAAAATTTGCCTTTTGTTACCTGTATAATATATTCCTTTCAGTTGTAAGAAGGTGGCTGGGTATTTATTTCAGAGATATCTATTGGTTTGAAATTTTTTCTTATTATAGAAATGTCAAATTCAAATAAAGTAAACTTAACTTAGAAATATTAAAGGCTAGAATACCCACATTAAAATGAAGGAAGGAACCAGAAAATGCCACAAAGAACACTGGTTCACCAAAAGTAATGCTCTTATGCAGGAAGGGAACAACTTAGACCACAACAAATAAATTAAGTAGGTAAAATCCAGAATGAGAGTAAAGGTCACTGGACTGGATCATGGAAGTATCAAGTGAAGTGGATCATCTTCAAGGAGAATGGACCAAAATGAGAACACCAGAAAGGCATTCTTATCAGCAGGGCTTATCCCCCTGGAAACCCTTTACCATTTAATCATATATATATATACATCCATAAAAGATGGTTGGGCATCATATAAATATGTGTGGAGTCAATGAATATTCCCAGGTGTGGTCACAGGTAGTGACATAACAGATATGCAAGGTCAGAATACAACACATTATCTTGTACCTGTAATGGACAATTCTCAGGATAGAGGACTTATGATAAATAATAACTGAACATATTCCTGGAATTAAGCCTCCTATCCTCCTCACCTTGAAAGGCCAGACAAGTCATAAAACTAACGTAGTAAGTGGGAACTCAGTAACAATCGAAAAGATATAGGCAGACCCAAAAATTATCTTACCAACTCAAGGTTAATGCAATAACAATTAAAGTTAATGAAAAAAATAAAAGATAGCTTTAAGGTAATTCCATCATGGTTGGAGCTATGAGAACAAAAATCTCATCTCCAATGTCTCGAATGCTACACAAGCACATGCACACAAATGTAGGAAGATACCCACTGAGGCATCATCAGCCTTGAATTGGCATCTTCTGTCCACTTGCAGAGGGCATCACCCTCTCACGAAGCTCCAACATAATTTTGTCTAGAACAAATGCAAAGGTATACGTAACATGTAAGAGGTGAAAAACAATGGTTACGTTTTCACTTAATTCAAATTTTAGGTAGGAAGGAATGATCTGGGTACAAGTATAAAGCCTTTCAAGAAAATAAGACATGTGAAGCATTATGGGCATAGATTCAACTCTGGACAGACCTTGCGTATTCACAAACTTTCTTTAGTGCAGACCATCTTTTCATTGGTCGCATTTCTAAAGATACTGAATTCGTTGGCAGTAATTCTTACTCCCTTGCAAACAGTGATGGTGAATGGTAATGATGATTATGTACTGTATTTTGCACATGCTCTTTAGTTCTTGAGCTCAAACAATAAATTGTAGTGCCCATATAGCCATGGTTACAACTTGAACATGTAAATTTATAGAGGACATAAGAGCAATGTGTTTTAGGAATAACTTAATTTGAGACACACTTTATTATTCAAAATCATTTTTAATCTTCTTCTTCAATTGTAATGAATGTTTGTCTGTAAAAGGTAAGAAACAATAAACTACTTCTTTAGTTTCAATATGTTTACTGACTTTAGAAATGTACAAAGATTTTAAATATTTCTTAATAATACCATCACTCGGTTGTGAAGGGAAGCTATTTTTTTGTAAGAAGACTTTTGTTTGTACTTCATGAAATTCAGAAAATGAACTAACTATAAGCTCAATGAATTATGTAAATTAAGTTCTTATCAAACTTAAAAGGTAAAAACCTGTCAAAGTTAACATTTTCTAACACTGAAAATGTATTTCCAATAAGTACGTACCTCCTTTCACCCAAAGGCATCTCATCCTTGATTTGCTCTTTAAGCATTGCTAAAGTTTTTTAACAGTGCACCAGTCTTTTATACCCCTTCATTTTTGTGCCATTGCACATGTGATTACCCTCCACCAATCATAGTGCGCCACCTATACTGCATGGTATTTTTTTCATTTCATGTATTGTACGTAACAAATTGTGTAATCAACAAGTGCAGTCAACCCAGGCAAAAATATCTGGGGCAAAAGCCTTGTGAAATTATGGAGTATGTCAAAATCTTCACTTTTGAGAATTGACAGATGCAAGTAAGAAACACCAGCAATTCAGTGGGGAGGAAGAGTAGGAAGTGGGTAAGCAGAAGTAAGCACCTAGCAGAAATACATTTTTAGTGTTAGAAATGTTAACTTCCGAAATGGTACTACCTCCCATTACCCAAAGCTAGAATCCCATGTTGCAAAGGTGGAGGAGTCGGTGAAGGTGCAAAAGTAATCAAACAAGTGAAGAAGAACTGCAGTGAAAGAACAGGTGTGCCACAATTATAAAATGAGGCACATCTGTGGGGTATAGCACTACTTCTGGAACAGATATGCTATTCACCCAGTAACGAACAAGTAAGACACATAGGGTGGAATTTAAAAAAACAGGCACCATGTCATGTACTACAGATTCCACCATGGACAACAGATAGTACATAAGATGTCCACATATATATCAAGTGTGAGCGCACGTGACATAATCATAGTGAGATTTGGAGAAGGTGCCTGGAATCAGATATAAGAATACGTGGCTTTGGATAAAGGGCCGTAAAAGTATATGAATAGGCCAAGTGCAGTCTGCCCAAGCAAAGAACATCCACGAAAGTACCTTGGATTTACATTAATATAGCCAAGTGTGGTCGAATTAGGCAAAACATCTTGAGGAAGCACCTTGGTATATGTCAGTTTATGTCAAGTGCAGTCCAACTGGTCAGAAAACATCTAGTGGAAGTACCTTGCATGGTATTTTTTTCATTTCATATATTGTACATAACAAATTGTGTAATCTACAAGTGCAATCAGCCCAGGTAAAAACACCTGGGGCAAAAGCCTTGTGAAATTATGGAGCATGTCAAGTACAGTCCATCCAGGCAGAAAACATGTAGTGGAAGCATCTTGCGTAAGACTGATCGATTTACCTCTTGAATGTAATAATTTTGAGAGATCAACAAGTGCAGTCCACCCAGGCAAAAATCATCCAGGGGATTGCCTTGTGAAATGATGTAATATGACAAGTGTGGTCCATCCAGGCAGAAAATATCCAGTGGAAACATCTTTCATAAAATTGGTTGTTTCATATCATGAACATAAGTTAGTTAGTGATCAACAAATGTGGTCTTCTGAAGCAAAAACATCAAGGGAAAGCACATTGTGATATAAGTGAGAATGTCAAGTGCAGTCCATATGGGCAGAAAACATCGAGTGGAAGCACCTTGCATAAAAAAAAAAATATTTAGTGAACAACAAGTGCAGTTGGCCCGAGCAAAAACATCTGAGAGAAGCACCTTGTGTTTTATTGAGTATAGAAAGTGCAGTCCATCTGGGCAAAAAACATCCAGTGGAAGCACCTTACATAAAGTTTGTATTTCACAATCAATAAGTGTGGTCTACCCAGGCAAAATACATAAGGTAGAAATGCCTTGGATTGATCATATTATGATATTGTATAATATAAAATATAATGACGATAGCTCTCTTTTCACAGAGTGGGCACATATGACTATGAAGTTTGTTTTATCGTACAAATCCCACTCCAAAGGAAACCTCCATGGTTCATCACTCCAGCGACTGGGAACTGGAAGTGACAAGAACTCCCGTGGTCCACTGGAAGAAAAGGGGGTGATACGCAATGGGGAGTCTGGAGGAACGACACACTGGAGACAGTGCAATGGGTGTCTGCAATTCCCTATTTTGAAAAGCAGAAAAACCCTGATTGCAAAAATCCCCATCTGCTTTACTCATGAATTCCATGAGTGACAGTCCGTTATATATGATACAGTGATAAGAAAGAAAATATGTATACACATAGATATATACACACCACTAGATAAGCTGCTGGTGGTCTTACAAAAACACCCCATCTCTGCAGTGAGTGTTATGGAAGTATACAGATACAGTGCCAAAATATAATATTCAGTATACCTGACCAGGCAACACCTGCCACCAGGTGAGATCCTGAAATATGATGTATATCAACAAATTAATGTAAAAAAAGAATAATATGTCGACTTACCCCAGGCAAAGGCAAACAGACATGTATAGAATTGCCACAATAGGAAGATGATACCCGCTCAAGAAAGACACAGCTATGTTGTGCAGATAAAGAGCAAAAAAAGTATTGACAGTTGTCCACATACCAGGTTGAACAATCTCCTCCAGAAGACAGAGCTTGTGAGCAGCTAAAGACATAGTTAGATGACAAATTTGGTGTGAAGAAATATGATGTAGATGGTGAATGTCCATGGACATGTCAGAATACGCCAGTCTTATGAGTGGACAAATCCAATAATAGGTGAAAAGATCATGGGAAATAGAGGAATTCCATGGAACAAAAAAAAAGAAAGGAATGAGAACCACAAAAGGAGGCAGTACGAGCCACATAACACAGCAGGTAACACACTGGACAAAGTAGACGATCTGGACCCGAACAGGAGGGAAAAAGAAGGTAAGGAAATAGGAAATAAGGCCTAACAACTTTCCCATGCAGCCAATGTTCTGAGAAGGAAGGCTGAATCTAGATAGCAGAGAACATATGAGGAATGGTAAAGGATGCGGGAAACATTAATCACATGAATATCAGAACAACAATGACTGCATATCAGAAGGGAGAGGAAATAGGTCTTAAGGGAAAATGGGTTGGTTTGAATTTCTTGCAAAGCTACACCAGGGCTATCTGCACTAGCCGTCCCTAATTTAGCAGTGTAAGACTAGAGGGAAGGCAGCTAGTCATCATCACCCACCACTAACTCTTGGGCTACTGTTTTACCAACAAATAGTGGGATTGACCATCACAATATAATGCCTCCATATCAACAGCGTAATACCTTTGACCCGAACAGGAGGGAAAAAGAAGGTAAGGAAATAGGAAATAAGGCCTAACAATATTTGGAATATTGTGTAGGAATATTTGGTGGGACAGGATTTTGAACTCACCACCCTCAGATTGTGAATCCAGCACCCTAACCATCTGGCTATGCCAAGCCATCTGGATAGGGGAAAAGACCAAGGCAAAGAGTCTGATTGGAGGGAGGCATATAGGTTAAGACCCCCTCCAATTTCAACTGAAAGCTTCCACCCCCAGAGCTGAGAGGTGAGGAACTGGAGACCAAAAAAAGGAAGGAAGTTTGGTATTCCAGTGAGTGAGAAATGTATATATATGCAGAGTTCCCAGTTGAAAACACCCACAGAAAACCTGAGGATGAAGGGACCACTCCATGAGAAGAACCTTACTAGTAGTAAAGAAAAAGTAATTTACCAAAAAATTAGCATTAACAGTGAAATGAAGTAAAATGCAAACAAAAACAAAGGAATAATCCAACTCCAAATGCAAGTTTAAACTAACTTAACCTAAATAGCAAAAGAAGTATAAAAGTTATAATTTTCCTATACTGAAAATGTATTTCTGATAGGGAGTTCCCTCCTCTCACAAGATTAGCTGTTGTCATTTATTGCTGCCCTCTATTTGCAAACTTTTTTATAATGCATGCCACAAGCCTTTTGCATCCCTCCTATTGGAATCAAATTATTCGAAGATGTGTCTCATTCAAATCATAATGTGTCACCAATCCACCAATAGGATCACAGTACACTCACATGACACATGTGACTCCCTCTATATGCTTCTACTGAACTATCACTTCAAAGTTTGGCAGATGATGGAAGCACCAGGAAGTGAGTGGGGAGGAGGGGTGGGAAGTGTGAGAGAAAGGAAGAACCTATTGGAAATATATTTTCAGTATAGGAATATTTTCGATATGGTACTTACATATTTTCACAAGATTAACAAGAATCCCACATTAATTAGGAGGAGAGACCAGTGTGAGGGAAGAACAGACATACCTCCTGAAAGCATCTGAAGGATACCCTTGTAGATGAGAGTCAGATCTGAAGATCTGGAGAGGGGAACTGCACCACTTCTGATCCAGGTATACTCTTCGCCCAGTTGAGGAATGTGTAAAAATCAGGATGGAAAATGAGAGGAGCACATCCTAGTGGGAGAGAAAGTGGTAGGAAAGTGATCCTAACTGAAGAAAGATATAGTAACCCAATCCCACAATAAGAAAGTGTGTGAATGAGGATGTGTCCCATGGTGTAGAATGGTTCAAACCCAAGAACTAGAAAATTCAGAAATAATTCAATTCCTGGGTATTACACAGGAAGAGCTCTGAGCTATTGATCCAAGATTGTGACGTCTGGTATTGAAAGGAAGTCTACCACATGCAATCAACGCCTGTGACCTTTAAACAGGTCGGGACCATCCAAAGGGGAATAACAGCCACAATCTTGTTTCAGGTAGTAAGTGTACAAGACAGAAATGTACGAATATGAGACTCCAAGGATTGCAATGTCATGAGAGATAGCAGAAGTATTCTTTAAACTGTAATGATCCAACATCTCTAATATAGCAAATACTGTGTTAATAATAAATGAGACTTAGACTTGTGGATCATTCACCCAAGAGATGTGGCTACCTATATGTTCAACTGAGTTTGATGAACAGATTAAGTAGATGAAAAGCTCAAAATATGCTACTTGTCCATGTACAACTGAAAGCTGATGTCAAGTGAAAGAAGAAGACCAACAAATCTTTTGGCTACTCAAAATAAAGTGTAAGGTACCAAATAGAAAAGGGCAATGAACTGATAAACCACCCTTTATTGGTAAAACCCAAAATGATGAGGTGACATATGACTAGGGTATATGCAGATAAGCATTCAGTATATCCACCTTTGTCATCCAAGGTAGAAATTTGACACTGACTAAAAGAGTCAGGAGAAAGAGAGTAGTTGGTAGCTAATGACTGTGCCAAAAATAAATTTTCAAAGTGAGACAAATCATAATGCACATAACAGAAACCAGAAGATGAGTTACCAATAACCAGTCTGGAGGTCAAGAACTTTAGAAAACAAAAAGAGTAGAAGATTACCACACTAAAACCTCTCTTGTATCATAATGCAGGGAATGTGAAGGCTATTAGCATTTTGCTGATTTCTACAAGCATCAGTAATAACCCAAATATCAGGAAGTGATTGAAGAAATAATGTTCATGAATCATCCAACATGACACTAACATCAGGTGTAACATAAATGGGTTCAAGATTTGAAATTGAGTATACCCAAGAAAAAAAAATGAGAAATTAGCCCAAAAGAAGCATTAATATAGGCCAAATGCATTTATCAATAAGTATTTATATTAGAACTAAAGGATCTCTTTGCACACATGTTGACTGCATGAATAAGGCCTCAAAAAATAGAAGAATTCATGATATTTGAAGAAGTACTAGCACCAGAAATAGCATTCACTTTAGAATTCATAGTGAAGTTAACAGCATGACTTTCAACAATAAAATCTGGCTCCTGATTAGAAAGCAGGGTCTATACATTTTCCTGACACTGATGGAATAAGGCACATGGTAGATGGGATAAAATGGCATCTTCTCTGCATTGCATCGATGATATTTAGTTCCTAAACTCACATTGCAGTTGACAAACATAAGATAAACTAAAAAAAAGGTTTTTAATATTTCAGAAATGTCTACTTGATTTAAATCTGAATATTTACATTCTGAAAAAAAATGTTACAATATTAATTAGAAGGAATTTTCTTTATTTTGAAAAGCATATTCAATCTTTCATTAGAATGCTAAAAAAGAAATCATAATGAAGAGTAATGTACTAATATTAGATAAAAACTTACTTCATATTAATAGTGGCTCAATCAAAGGAATGTTAAGTGTTGCCATCCAAAATAAATTATGGAAATTATCCAACAATGCTTAAATATATAATCTTTTTTGTCACTTGGAACCACTGGAAAACTTAATCTAATCATGATTTTTTTTAATATCAAACAACATGTAATGAACTGATATTTAACATTACTGAAACAAAAACTAAAATCACACTTACAGGTAAAGTTTACTACGAAACTCAGCTTTAAGCAATTTACTTTTGATATCACAGAAAAACATCTTATTCATGTTGAAACTCACTTTCCATCAGAGTTGCTGCAGCTGTGGTTTCTGTGAGTCCATACCCCTGAAGTAAGTACACATCTAGACAAGTGCTGATAAATGTGTGTGTATCTGGAGAAAGTGGAGCACCCCCTGAGACAATAGCACGGAGTCGTCCACCAACTAAATCTTTGATACTTCTGAACAGAACCCTTGAAGGTTATTAAAGCAAACAATGATGATATTTTTAGTGGTTTCTTAAGATTAACACTAAATGCCAAAAATCTGACAATCATAAAACAATTCTAGATGATAATTATACTTTATTTCAAAGATAATAATAATTATGTTTAAAGATAATATTGTACATTGGCTAAAGGTACAATACATTTCAAATGTTAATGTGACTTACAAACTTTACATTAATAAGCCTAAAAGACTTTTACCTAGAAGACTGACATATGTTAAATGATAAAAATATATAAAAAACAAACTTTTTTACTTAAAAGTAGTTGGCTTAGAGTACATTGCAATTTGTGCTTAAGTATATAAACTTTGGTGTTTCAATATGTTCAGTATAAGAGGTATAAGCTAAGTACAAGGAAGTATTAATAATCTATGTATTAGTTCCTAAGTTAGCTTATAGATGGTTATCAGTAACTTGCCAATTTATAATGGGTGTCTCAAACCCCCACTTCTTCCATCTCTGTTTGTACTTCAATGCAAAATCAAAAAGTTTTCTGGTGAAGTTTCCTTCACATTGGATAACCTCTGTTATTCCTTTCTGGATTCTCTCCAGTATTAACTAAAACAAATTATCATTTTTATGTAGCAAATGAAAAGTAAGTTATAAACATATATTAAAAAAGCACATTTCTACCAAATATTGAAGGAGCAAAGGATAAGACTAAATTTAAATTTCAAATATCATGAAATGAACTGGTTAAAATGTGAAACTTAAGAATGACAAAAAATAAAAATAACAAGCACTGTTCAGCATTTTCTTTCAAAATAACTAATGTACCATTAGCAATAATATTGCAATGTTAACTATCCAGATTGATTAAAGATCATAAATAAATATCATACTGTTACTAACCAGAATTGATTTAAAATATATTTGTTAGTAGTAAAATGTACAGCAGTTAACTTTCAAAAACAAACTGCTGTAAAATATACATTTTAAGTACGTCTTGAAAAAAGGCTTGCATTAAAATGTTCTCTACTGATAAAACATTTACTTCAAAATTAATAACAAAATTAAAAATAAATCTACATCTGTATGAATATCAACATTATTAATTTTAATTATCACAGGAAATTCTAATGTTTTTAAGTTTTATAGTCACCTTTCATCAATTAAAGCATGTAGTTCAAGGATTTGTTTTTCAAATACAGAAAAACAATATACAATAGTGAACAGTTATTTCTAGTTCAAGGAGAATTTGTATGGTTGATATAAACCTCTTCTTTGAACCGACCTCAATAATCCACAGTGACTATGAAACTATATCTTTTCTGTGTAAACAATGTCTAGTTTATAATTCTGAGCTTAAAACACAAACTGTGGTCCTTAGATGACTAAATAAATTCTATTTTATAAGAAATTTATTTTTCACTCACAGGAACAGCTGAGATAACTGTTGGTTTCAAAACTGAAGCATCACCCTTACAGCCTTTTTTTACAGCAGTAGACTACAAACAAATTTAATTCCATTAAATTTCATTTTTTAAGCAGATTCTTTCCTTATAATTCAATACACAAGAAAAAATATGCAAAGAAAAATCATTATCAATCTTCTTTTTTAACATTTGTTAATTTTCAGAAGTTCTAAATCTTCTAAAAAGAAAAACTGTTCTAACATATCCTTCTTCAAATAAAATTTTTGGTTCTCAATTGAAATTTTTATCTCATAGAATTTCCCTATAGTAAAGTAAGTTTTTTCCTCCTCTGCATGGATATTCTTATAGTTTCTAAGCCTTGCATAATATTTCATAAAATAGAATGACTTAAACACACTTGCTCTGTTGTAGTTGATGAAAATATAATAAAAAAGTTGAGTTATAGAAGAAAATAACATCAAACTTCTTTACCTTATCTGTCATTGTTAAAGGAGAGGAATAACCAAGAGGAACTCCAACTGCTAAGAAACAGCATTCTGTTGCAGAAAAAAATAAGAATAAATAATCAATACATGCTGCAAAAGACATTCAAATATATTAAAAATCCTCTTCCATTCTTATTTGTAGGAATAATTTTCTCTAACACTAAATCATACATTTTTCTACATGTTTTACTTTTTATTTGCATAATCTCCTTCTGAAATTAAAAAAAAAGTATCTATGCCAAAAATAGTTAATCAAAAGTATCAGTGCACATTGCTTTTTTTATTAAAACAGCATATGCATAATATGGATGAACGATGTTTTACGTTGTTTGAAAGTGTTAAAATAATAAAATACTTGAAAATCATGAATACATTGGTTGTCTCTCCTTACACATTGAAAACTTTATATTGAGCTAGATTTCTAAATGTAGTTAAACTACTGCAAGATATGTCTATGAGTTCTCCAAAACATATTTTAAAGACTACAATAATGTACTTTAATATTTGATGACTATGTCAATGACAAGAGTCACTCTTTACACTTATGAGGTAATAAATTACTTAAGACACATTAATTTTACTAAAGATATTATTAACTATTAAAGCAAACAAGAAAAATATATCAAACTAGCAGATGTCCTCTGAAAAAATTCAATGGTAAATTTCCTAAAAATTGTGATGAATAAATAAAAAAATGTCCAATGAACCCAATTCCTTGGATCATAGCATATATGCGATATGACTGTCTAATGCATTGCTTTCCAAACTTTTTTCACTGACGACACTCTAACCCACTTACCTTAATTTGCATGACACCCCTTCTTCCACATGCAATATTTGTTTTGTAGTTTTTTTATGTTCTTAATCATTCTTCATTTAGTGAAACTCTCACAACACCCCTAGCAATTTGTCACAACACATAGTTTGTAAACTACTGGTCTAGTGGGCTGTTTACAACCATATTTTGTCATTCCATGTGTTATTTCAGTAAGAAAATGGCATTGAATTTGATTTTTCATCAAAGGAGACTGACTGCGATATACTGTTGGCAAAAATGTTTGGGTTTTTATACAATGGGTTCATCCAGCATAACAGAGAATTCAATTCGTTAAGTAGCTACAGGGATTTTTTTACACTGGATACCACCTTCCTTGTCATTTCACTGAGTGTAAGAATAGACTGCTACCTAAGTGAGTGCTTTTTGACAATCATAATTTCTACAAGAAGCACCAAAGGGGAGATAACAAATCAAATCAATTTATTCGACATGGTGCAATAAAACAAGCATTCTATGTAATTTCTTTTTCTATGATTAATCATTCAGGAGCATGACAGAGAGACAGACATTTGGCTCTTATATATATAGATGTGAGACTTGAAGTTTAAAAAAAGTCCCACTGATTATAATCGTTTCAAAATACAATAATATTGCCTCATTTTCATGTAGGTAGATAAAAAAATTACAGTACTACTTGCTGATTGAGGCCAGCACAACAAAGCTAGTACCTTTCACTCTGTATTATCATACTGGTAGCATATTGAAGTATACGATATTGATAAGATATACTGTACTGCTATCATAAATATTACCTTCTAATTAAAAAGGTTGACCAGTTCATTGAATTACAAGTCATCCTTCCTCTCAAGTAAACCTAAGATCATGATACAATAATGAGAACAGAATAACCATATTTTCATAGAATATTTAATTATTTGTCACCGATGATAAGTATTAAATTATTTTGCTCATGAGACAGTGTTAAAAATTATGAGGTTTCTCAATTATACAAAACAAAGAGACATAATACATATACTGATGTAGAAATCAACTGATTTAGTGCTTATTAAGATTTCCTAACTATCTAAACAATGTTATTTGTGCATTTTGCAACAACTGTATTTTAAAATTAGAGGCTTGTCTATCAGATACTTAATATTGCACCTTACTTGTATGTTAAAACACTTCTTTGAAGGTTGAAAGCTTATAAGAACTCAGGTGTTTTATTTTGTTATTCTTTCTATGACCTTTTTTGTATATACTATATTTATGTTTTAATGACAAGACTTAAGAGTTTCTGTCTTGGTATATGTGTTTTTTCTAGAATATTCTCAAGATATCATAATGACAAACTGTACAACTTATCTACTTCCAATAAATTACAGGCAACACACAAGTACATGAAACTGACCTGCAGCTAACTCCAGTACATGAGCTAGGGGTAAATATGCCATATAGACATCTCCTGGCCTGAAAAGTTTACAACACATGAGTTAGGATTACCTCAGGACATCAACAAAGAAACTATAAAAATTCATTCCTCACATTCTTTATAAAAAATATTAGGATCCAAACATTTTGTCCCTGACTTTCCATACAACAAAAACACAAAAAACATTTGATATTTTTGTTCTAGAAAGTTTGTTTTGGTTTGAATTTTGCAAAAAGCTACACGACGGCTATTTGTACCAGCCATCCCTAATTTAGCAGTATTAGACTAGAGGGAAGGCAGTTATTCAACACCACCCACCACCAAATCTTCAGCTACTCCTTTTCCAATAAATAGTGAGATTAACCATCACATTATAACATCCATAGGGCTGAAAGAAAGATCATGTTTGGTGTGACGGGAATTCGAACCCACGACCTTCAGATTGTGAGCAGAGCACTTCAACCACCAGGACATTTTAAAAAGAACATGTCATAAAACAAACACCAAATTATTTCTGACACTATGATTTATCAGTTGAAATTTTTTTCATAAAAAAAAATTGTCACATAAGAACAACATTGCTGGGAAAATGTAAGTTCTTTGATTCAACAATTTTTGAAACAAAAAATATCAAGAATCACAGTACAAACTACATGAAAAACAATAAACAACATGATACAGCAGTCATAAATAGTTTAAAGATAATTTTTCTTGAAAAGAAAAAAGAAATTGTTAATATATATTACAGCTCAAATTTATAAGATAAAGTTATAGGTAACTAGAAACAATGAGCAAGTATTGGAGAAACAATAGGTTCCAATCTTTCATAGAAAAAAATATGGTTTAGGTGCAAAATCTTGTATGAAATTTTGTGACCAAAATGTTTAATATTATCAAACATGACACAGAATAATTTTTTAGAAAATTACATGAAAAAATTATGAACATGATACACTACCAAGCATTAAAAAATAAACAGTATCATTCATATCTTACACGTAACACAGCTTAGGCATAAATACAAAAGAATTTTCTTTTCTCTTAGATAAATGAGTAAATTAGCAAACTTTTTCTAGCTCTTGCATGTGAAATTTCACAATTTCTTATTCTTTCACACATCCTGTATCTATCCTTAATCTATCATATGCATAATAAGGGGGGGGGGGGGACTACAACTAACTTTAGTCCAAAAATTTTGAATACTTTATATATTGATTTTTGATCCAAAGCAATAACTAGTTGTAATCAGCTAAAACTTCTAATTTAAGGGAGTTTAACGGAGAGCTTGATAACCATTTGAATGATAAGGGCTGGCTTTGAATTTTTTAGATTTTATATTAGTGTTTAGTTTAATGGATAGGATGACCTAGATGGACCAAAAGGTCCCCTGTTGTTCTTTAATGTTATGTTAATTGTTATCTGGAAAAAAAAAAATGTTCAAAAACATATGATAAAGAGAGCGAAATAATTTTGCTTTTCTACCCCAACCCCACTGCAATTTCCATCATATTGTTGCGTCAGCGAGGTCACGTGACTAGTATCACGCCACGTCCTTCTCGAATTTCGTGAATTGTTGGGAGACTACTAGATCGGGGGTAGTCTGGTATATATAAGACGGTCACAACATGATGGAACAATATATGTGTAATGTAATGAGTAATTGGAGGTATGTGTAATTGAACTGAGTATTGTTGAAGTCGAGCACGCGAGACGTTCGTTGAGAATTATAGCATTTGTTATAGCGCAACTGTTTAAATTAAGTGTATCGCAAAGTTATATTCAGAAAGAATAAACCAGTTTTATTTAAGAAAGGACTTGTGTCGCTAAAGTTTCGTCGGAACGAATTTACGGAAAATTAACTAACGAACAGACACGTAACAATATCTTGGACATTGCATAAAAATAAACCTAAATTGCTACTCAAATTTTCCTTCTCAGCAGGCATATCTTCTGATAAGCTTGATTCACTTCTGACTTTGGCCCTCTGGAATATTTTATATGAGAATTGTTTAACTAATTATGTATATATATACTACTTACCTTAAATCTTCAGCAACTTTCATGAACCCATTGCACGTACTGATAATGTTCTTATGAGTAATCATCACACCTGTATAAATATTTATTCCAGGAAACTTAACAGTGTAAAAATGAAAGAATAATTCATTTTTGTAATCAAAAATTTATTATCAGGAATAATTTATTTCAAACACAAAAAAAATGGTATATTTCAGTTAGCTTTAAAACAGAAAGAAATCTTAACAATAAAATTTCATTCATGAATTTGTATTGACTTAATCATTTACAACTACAAATTTTTACAATGTTGTTATTAGATGTGTAAGATTTCTGTGATCATAGCCTCTAACAAACATGAACGTAGATAGGAGCAGAAAATTTTAACAGTACTGAAACTTTCAGCAATCACAAATGTTTTCCTCTGACTTTGTCAGCACAAGTGTGATTATCACTGGTAAAAAGTTTGTGGAATAAGTCAAGGTACAGATTCACTAGTGTATTAAAAAATAGATTGAATACACAACAAAACACAAATCTGACACAAACCAAGTTTGAAAAGTTTTTTTTTGTGAAATTACTCCAAACTGGTTCCAATCTGGTTGAAACATTTATAAATGTTTTCTCTGGAAAACTTGTGTTATGACTTATGAAGAAATGTCAGTAAGATTTATTCCTCTGTTTTATTTTCCTGGACATACAATATAAAACTTTAACAGAAAAATCCAGTGTGACAGAAATAGGAAATGGAATATCATACCTTTGGGTTTGCCCGTAGATCCACTAGTATACATAATTATGGCTAAATCACTGGGGACTGGACTTTCACCTTGAAGTGCTGAAAATCCAAATCAATTTGTTAAAATATTCTATGACATTTTTATACACATAAAATGTATATATATGTCACATAAATACACATTGGCATACACACACACAT